ACCTAATGAACAAGAATGAGACAATTTCCACGTAAGAAATTGCACGCTACCCCCGCATCAGAATATATATATATATTATATATATATAAACAAAAATAGAGAAATTAGACTGTTGGCATGAATGAAGAATCACTTAAAAAAAGTGTATATTATACGAAAAACACTACTAACACCTGCAATAAAAGCATCTGGGAACAGTGTTCCCAATAGTTGACATTGATACTGTACGTGAGGTAAATAATAATTTTTTTTAAATACGTGAAAACCAGAAAAAAGAAAATAAAAGAACAGGCGACTGGCAGAGATAAATATTTCTGGTAAAAATTCTAACATAATATAATCGTATTATTCCTGAAACATAAATATAACTTGTTTATTTTATTTTGTAACAGAAAGACCCCACTAGCTGCTTTTATAATTTTAATATGTGCAACCAGAGGAAAAACAAAAGGTGAATTACAAAAAAGATATATCTGGTGGTGTGTAAGCCAGTCCTTATCCATATATATAAAAAGAAAAAAAAATGTGAGACCATAAAAAAAAGGGTGAAATATTACAGATAAGATATTTCTGGAGGACCCAGGTGTGAGTGAGTTTCCACTTTCCAGCCTAAAAAGGGAAAAAATTGAAAAATTGAAAATGTAAATTACAGATGAGATATTTCCGGCTGAAGGTAAATAAAAGGTAAGATATTTCTGGCAAAAGTAAGAAATATTTGTAGAGGAGGTGTGAGTTTCTAGATTCCCGCCCAAAAAGGAAAAAGATGAAAATATGTGAAAATGTGAATTACAGATAAGATAATTCTGGCAAAAAAGAAAAAAGAAAAAAAAAATAGATGGAGATGAGCATAAAAGGTTCTCTTCCATCTCGTGGATTTCACTTCAGAGTCTGGTCCTAGGGTTTGCTTTCAGCGGCGGCTTCGATAAAAGCAAGAAGACATGCCTCCCTCTATAAATAATCAGGCTTCTCTCTGGCCCTCTTATTTTTATTTCTCCGATATACACTGCAGAAGAAGAATGAGAAGAAGAGGCAAACACACTCAGCTTCCCTCCGCTCCACCATCCATTCTCTGCCTCTCTGTTGTATCTGGAGTGTTCATATTTAATATTTTAATTTTTTATTTATTAAAATAAATTTATAAAAATTTTAATAAATTTGGTAGTCTAGAATTTAATATAGATGATTTAAATTTAATATTAATTTTTTATATTTTTTATAAATTGATTATTTAGATGTATGGTTCAGATTTAAAATTTTTAACTTGTAATTTTAAAAAAACTATTTTTTTTTTGGAAAGAGCATGTGAAGAGATTATCTTTTATTTTAATATTTTATTACCAAAATAAAAATTTGTAAAGATTATAAAAAAATATTCAATATGAAATGTGCGTTGTCTGAATAATCAATCTATAAAATTTTAAAATTTTTTAACATTTTAATGTTAAATTTACACCATTTATATTAGATTTGAACTATCCAAATTAGTGAATAGATTTATTATAATTTTTAGTTCAGATTTTTATTTTTATAAATAAAAATTAAAACAGGAACGTACAGAGTGAAGTGGAGGGGCAGAGAAGGGATGGTGGAGTGGAAGGAAGCTGTGTATATGTCTGAAGATTTCCACAGGCAAATGTCAAGAGCTGCGTCTTTGAAACCTGAGTCATGTCACAGGACGTTGTCCATAAGGATTCGATTTCGGTTTTATTTGGTTGATTTAATTTCAACAAAATCTTTTTGAAATTCTTTTATTATTTTTTTAATAACAAGGGTACTCCATTAATTGACTTTCATTTTGATTTCCATGCGATTTAATTGTCTTTAATTCTGGAAAATCATGTGGAGGAGATTGACGTTAGTTAGGGTTATTTCAAATTCGCGACAAAACCACACACATTTCCTACGAACAAGAACACCTACACTTCACTGCAGAGGCAGTTCTTAGTCCAAAATATTTATTAGTGACATAATATATATAAGGAAAAACACACTTATCAGTCCTTATAGTTTTATCGTGTTTTGCTTTTAGTTTCCATAATTTTTTGAGTATTTTCAATCCCTATAATTTTAAAAAGATTGGATGATATTTATTTTTAGGTCCCTATAGTTTCAGTTTTTTCACACTCCTTAATCCCTATAATGACTAAAAACACTGAAAAAATTATAGGGACTAAAAGCAAAATTTGATGAAACTATACAGATTAAAGATTATGTTTTCTTATAAAGATTGTGTTTGTGTGTGTGTGTACAGAAAAATTTGATGAAACTATAGGGATCAATGATTATATTTTTCTATAAAGATTTTGTGTGTGTGTGTGTGTGCATGCGTGCGCTTAAGGTACTCCATTATCCAGCACGACACGACTTTAATTTATTTGATTATTCTTAGCATGTTCAAATGTGGTAGGTTTAAGAAGTGATATATACATCAGATATACTCCGTATGGTACTTAATATAGGGTGAACTTAACCAGTTTTATTCTTATTAAATAAGAAATGATAATTATATTCTTAGAGTTGCTTTATATATATATATATTATATAACTTTTCAATTTTGTCATTCTTTGCAATTAATAACCATGTTAAATTGTTATCTAAAAATTCAAATGATAATAAATAAATCAGGGGTAATATAAAAAATATTAATTGCTTTAATTTTATCTTATATTAACAACTAAAATAGCTTTCAAAAGTTGCCTTGTATATATTAAGAATAGGAGGTAATAGCTAGGCTAAATAAATAGGACTATATAAGAATAGAAGGATTCATAATTTAAAGTAAAGTACTCCGTAGGCACAACTTCCAAATATCAATATCATAAACTCGAAAATTTGGGCTTCATAAATATGCATAAAACTTGAGCTATGACCTTTTAAAATGGAAACTTACAGAAAGAATATAACGCAGCAATTGGATTTAGTTCATGCTATATTGGATCTAAATGAATGAAAGTAGGAGACATTGATCAATATTTCCCAATTAATTATTATCTTTTTTTTAACCAGATGATTATCTTGTTTTAAACTTCTAATCGTCACTTCCACGGATTATAAAATTTTAATGTTTTTTATTCCAGCTCGATGTCCTGGAAAATCTAGGAGTTAGGCTAATCTAAATACTCACTGTATTGAACTATTATTATCAATAGTGGCCTCACAAATAACTCAAGGATACTTTTGTCATATTTATTTAATATGACTACATATTTCAAAACTCAAACTTGAAACCTCATCATAAGCAAATTCAGTTACCTCAATCAAAATACCTTTAACATATTTATTTATTGCATATTAATTTATACTTTTATATATCATGCATATATGCAAAATTCTTGTATGGACATGATTCATCATGTCATCCATGTTTATCCAATAAAATTGCACCAATGCAATTAAATAAAATCTTGCATGTCATTATTTTCAATGACTTCATTTTTGTAATAGAATGTCTATTTAATTTTTTTATTTTTTCTCCTCTACTATGATTAATGATAAAATTAATTTATATTTAATGACATTTGAATATCATGTCTTTATTTAATGAAACATGGATGATGTGATGTATCAAATCCATACAAAAATTTATCATGCATTTTAAGTTTCCAAAGGGATCGGATATCAATTTTTAAAAGGAATAATGATAAAGAGGTTTCAAAAGAATCAATTAATTTAAATTAGGTCTCAAGTGTTAAACTCTAAAAATTTGCAGCCCAATCTCTTAATTTTGCAACTACATTGTGAAGAATTTGCAACTTATTTTTCAAATCTTAACATAGTTGAAGAATAAAATAATTTATTTTTTTTGTTAAAATTTAAGATATAAGTTGTAAATTTATCACAAGGGAATTGCAAAATTGAGAAATTGAGTTACAAATTTTTGAAATTTGACACTTAAAACATAACTTAAATTAATTAGTCCTTTTAAGACCTCTCTTTCATTTTCCCTTTTCAAAAAGACTATATCATACAAAAGGCTGGAAAAAATTTAATCTCTGAAAATGAAAAATAATAATCACAATAATAAGTATTAAAAATAAAAATACGAATTCATCTGTGCAAATTTTTAAAAAGAAAATTCATTAAGTCCATAAAAAATTAGAAAAAGCAACAAAATCAACTATTTAAAATAAAAATTTAAATCTAAAAAATAAATTTTATAAAAAAAATAAGTTGCAAATGTAGATTCAAATAGTTGAAAATTCAAAAGTTTAAATTATGAATAATACATTTAAATTTAAATTAAACTCCCAGTTTTAAATTAAATTAGAATTTGTATATTTACAATTTATTTTTCAAAATTTTTTATCTAGACCCGTCATTAATTCTCTTTTGGAACTTTCTGTCATTTTTTATGAATAGTAAAGCAATAACTGCAATTCATATTACTATCATTTAACATCTTAATTAGATAAGCCAAACGGATATAATTGTACAAGAATATTTATTCATGTTCCGGCGAAAATACATCCCACCTAATTAATCGGTGAATTAAATGAGCCGAAGACATTGAATACTCTTTGATATCAATAATACCTTGAATAAATTAAGGCAAAGTAATATACTTCCTTTCAAATTATAGGGTAGTTTTAAAGGAATTTTTTTATCCTAAAAAATAAGAAATTTTAATTAGATTAAGGTTTTATTAAATATATTAATTTTAATAAAGTATTTTTTGAAGTTTATATTTTTATTTTGAAAAGATAAAATTGTTAAGTGTATTTAATGAGATTTATTGATATGTAAAATTTTATTTAAAAATATCTTATAATTTAAGATGAAAAATCAGACACAACACTAAGCAGATATTTTAAAAGGATATAGATAGATAGGATCCTTCACGCCTTTGATCGTTTCGTGTTTGATAAGTCTAAGCAATTCTACGAAATTTTCAAAAGGGTCAATTCATTCTTCTCGGTTTCAGTGTCCTGTCTAGGGCTTTACTTCTTCACTCTAATCAGCAGCTCTTACAGTAGAAGTAGGAAAAAAGACTGACCCAACCATGGCCAATCTCAAAATCAAACCGCGCAGAAAAGCTCACCAGCTCGACGGCGGCTCCGGTGGGAATGGGATACTCCGATTGCCGGTGGAAATTCTGCGGCACATTGTCTTTTTCTTACCCGTTGGAGATGCAGTATCACTGTCAGCTTCTTCAAAGACGTGGCGAAATGTCTGGACTTCTCTTCCAGTCCTCAACCTCAACTTCGATCATGACGATGATGTCGTCACTCTCGACGACTTCGTCGCTTCAATTGACAACGTTTTGTCAACCTTAAGATCTCGCAGCGCCATAATCGAGGGCTTCTCCTTGACGATGAATCCGCATAAAGAAGAGGGTTCGAAATTGGAATCGAAATTGGAATCTCACCTTGATGATTGGCTGTCTTTAGTTATGAAAATTATATCAAGGAGATCAATCTTAGGGTTTCTGATTCTTCGGACAATGTCTTTCTACACTTTACCCCAATCAGTTTTCACTTTGAAATCTTTAGTCAAACTTCAGCTGATAGGTTGCAAATTCCCGCCTAACATTTCGTTCGCTGATCATGATAATGATAAAAAATCCAGATTTCATGAATTTAACTGTCTTAGAGAGATAACCCTGGAAGATGTTATTGCTCGTGATGATCAAATCCAGGACATTGTGGATCATGCCAGGGACTTTCTTGAAAAGCTGACTATTAAAACGCATCCTCCCTTAAAATTTCTGAGTCTGGAATTCTTCTCGAAGCTTGATTTCATTGAAGTAAACGTTAAGACATTGCTGTTAAATCATGCTATGAATCTGGATACAGTGATTCTATATGGGATTCGTAGAGTATATGCTTTTGGGGTATGGAACATAAAGACATTAAGATTCTTAACATGGGACACCTGTGCCTAACACATCGATCAAAACATTTATCTCCAGCCTCCCTCTTGTGGAGACGATACAACTGTTTATGGATCACAATGAGAACATACAGATTCAAAGTTCTCATCTTCAGACTTTGTTTTTGTATGAAGGTCAAAGGTTTGAGGAGCCTATAGTGGTGGAGATTGAAGCTCCTAAACTCAGCAAAGTCCATTTCACTGGCTTTTCTTTTCCTATGATTACATTACTGAGAAGGACTCAGAAAGTTGAGCTTCATCATTTTGGTCATCCCCTTGGTGGTATTGATAGCTCTCAACTTTACAGGCTTGGAAAGTTTTCACGAAACGTGATGCAGCCATGATAGAAGTACACTTGCATCGGATTTTATTGAGGTATATATGTCAATTCTTTTGCTTTTGCGTTAATTGGTGCAACTTTTATTAAGAGGCATTCTTGCACATAGCTTCAGCGCGCGCAGCTAAATCATTTTTCTTTCTATTCTAGATGTTGAATCCCATTCTCTAGGCTTGCTGTGATCTAGTCATGTTGCCAATTAATTTACAATATTCATTGTTGCTATATTATTGCGATCAATATTAATGATCTATCATTGTTACGTTTCTCCATAGAGATTTATTTGATATATTTAGAACTAACGTAGTTGAATTAGGAGAATCTCTAAGGATCCCATATGATGATTTAACGTAGTTATTATGATATGAGCCCAAAAAGTTATTGTTCTTCCGCCTTA